TTTTCAGAACCTTTTATCTAGTTTTCAACAGGAAGAAACTGCACAAACGCCAGTGGCAAACAATAGTGCTCACCTCCTTTGCAATCCACGTAGATTGTCTGTTGTTTATCTATTCCAAAGTAATGGCACTGACATAGAAAAGGAGGGTGTTGTTTTTCCCACTGTGTTGTGTAAAGAGGGCCTCCTCAGAAGCATGCTGTGAGGCTTCAAACACATACACAGGGCTTTGAACAGAAGAGTGCGTTTATTCTACTTAATAGGTGTTAATTAGGATTCTGTTTATCAGCATGTTTTATCTCACTGTTAGCTATTTGCCAAGCCAAAACCTTGGCAAAATTAAAGAGATCGGATATTTCATTGGAAGCCAGTCTATTTATAAGTGTGCCCTTGTGTTAAGTGGTCTCTTGCTTCTCTTCCTTAAGGATATTTGTTCTTGCTAAGTCCTTCTTTCATAATCCTCTCGTTTTGACAGCAAAATTGGTTTCATGGTGGTTAATTTTGCTCCTGGAAATAAGAAGCTGCCCATCTTTCCAACGGGCAGCAGGCAGCAGGAACAAATTCTTTTTCAGAAGAAATAACTGTGAGGTTTTTTTGTAGTGGTGGTTGTGTTGTAGTTTGTTGGTTTTGGATGAATCTAAGATGGGGGAGTGAATGTGTAGGGAAGGAACTAGCTTCTGTAGAGCTGTTAGCTGGGGGGTAGGCTCTCTTTATTCACTGGATTCTCTTTTTGTTCTGGAGATTTGGAAGCTTCCCTTTGTAGGTAATAATTTGAGGCTTGAGACAGAGGAGTTTTGCAAGCATTCTCTTCTCACTGAGATCATATGAGGTCATTGGACAGAATCACACAGCTTTTAGTAACTGGTGATGCAACAGCTAACCCAGAAACTAACAGACTCTAGTCTGATTGCCTGTGGGCAAAGAGCTGGCTGAATTAATGCTGGCTTCTCGTTTCCAGCTGCAGTACTCAGTTAAAGAGCCTTAAAATAGATTACTTTCCTAGAGCCACATGTGAGTGGTCGTAGTGCTTCACACGCTGTGAGGCTGTGCTGGCATGTGTCTGGGATGGGGCTGCATGCAAGGTAAATACCATCTTCAGAGACGGTATGTGTTGTGCAGACGTATGAGAGACTGTGAAAGGTGGGAAGGCCCACAGCCAGACATGTTCCTGGGGGTGTCCCAGGAGTTTTTCTAGTTTTACTCTGAAGTTTAGCCAGCAGGCAGTGCGAGTCTGTGGCTGTGACACTGAGCAGAGAGCTGCTGAACTCCGAGCGGAGTTTCTGCTCGCGTCTGAGCAGACTTTCAGTAAGACGTTTAATCCCTTCCTGTTCCTGACTTGTCACCTAAAACAAAGAGGAAAAGCTTCTTTTGTCTCCGTAATTCCAGGAGCCTGTTTAGATTACAAATTCTTTGAGGAAGAGAAAGCACCTGGCACAGTAAGGCCCCTTTCTCAAATAGGTGCCATTGTAACAGCTGCAATCGGAAGCGTCATTCACTGCCAAGCAGCCATCCCCAGCTTGGGAGCTTCCGGGCGCTGACCTCTCTCAGGACTGACTGCTAACAGCTACGCAGGCAAGTTCTTCTATCTTGCAGGAGTTTCTGAGAGACTCAAATTTGCCCCTTTGATTTTCGTTTGTTTGTTTTCTGGCTGTATAAATTCCTTAAGGTTTCAGTTGAAGAAGTATGGCAATTTTAAAAAAGGAAATCTGCATTTTTATTGAGGTATTACATTTCAACAACCATCTCACTTTTTTTTTGTTTTTTTTTTTTCCCTCCTGGAAATACGTCAGGCTGGGGGCTGATCCAAGGATGACCTTTCCACACAGACAGTTTCATCAATATTTTTCCAGAGAAAAATATCTATCACTGGAAAATCCTCACAGGCACTTTGTGGATGCTGTAAGGAGAGCTTCGCAGGCAGAGATCTTTCTTAAACCTGGTTGCTGACACAATTAGCAGTAACAGAGATCCTTTGATAGCTTCTATATCAGTGTAAGCTCTGAACTGACATTGATTTACAAGCAGCATTCTTTTAAGTCGTGCCATTTCTTGCTTTGATATTTCCCCACAAAGCTGACTATTTAATTATTTTAAAAAATCAGTCATTGCAACTGGTTAACTAGAGGACTGTTTAATGAGGATTTCTGTTTGGGTTTATACTGCAGCTGAGGAGGATATATGATCTCTTTTGAAATGAGCTATTAACATGATAAAACATCTTGGGAATATACAGTACCAAAGCTGATGGCTTAATCTTTGCTGAGGTATCCGAAAGCTGTATGAAATACAGGGGACTGCACTAATGAGTATTTCAGCTTTGTAGTGGTATGGCACCAGAACACAGAGCTGAAGTGCAGTTACCAGATTTTTCTATAACTGCTTCCTGAAATATGCTTTGCATTTAGTATTCAGAATCAAATACAGAGATACTATAAAAATCCTATGTTCTCCATACCCCAAAAATGGGTATTTTCAGAACAGCAGGTAATGGTAAAAGAGATTTTTTCTTTTATTTATTGTTTGTGTGTGAATGTGTTCATGTGTATACATGTGTATGTACAGATATGCACATAGGCACATACACATGTGAGTATTTGCACCAGCTGTGTTTACAGGCTGGTTTGGGTGCTGTGGTTCTGCTGATGCGGACTCACCTGTTTGAAGTTAGCTGTGCCCAATGCTTCCCCCAGGCCGTGGCTCGTAGCTGGGCCTGTTAGCTGAGTATATCACCTTCCACATTCTTGTGGACTATGGAGGAATTCTGTTTGGCAACCAAAATTGTATAAAAAAACTGCTTTGTTTTATGACTTTCTTTCCATCACCCCTCTTTCTCTTCCCCCCCTTTTTTTTTTTTTAATTTTATTATTTTTATTTTAACTTCAAACAGGAGACTTTAACCCTCATTTACATGCAGCTTCTGGAATTCAGTGATCCATCATATTCATAGATTGCTTTGAATTGTAGTTGTAGCTACATCTAGCACATTCTGCTTCTGTATCTAGAACATCCTATGATGCTTTGCTCTTTGGTCTGTGTCATGCTTTTAACATCTCTGTTTTAGAATTCTTTTTCAATTATTCATGTATGAAGTCTTAATATAAAGAATAACTCATTGCTTTTTGATCCCTGTGAGTTAAAACAGATGCAGGGCTGTTGTGGTTTTACCTCTAGGAAAACAAGCATCCTCTCAGAGCTGTAAGTTTGACATTTTGGGAAAATGCTTTTCCAGTTTAAGGGATTTATTGCCTAGATCACTATTCTTTCTGTAAGACTTGACAGTTAATAGACGTACTTCTTGATTTTAGTGCTCTCCAGAGAAGGAGGGGTTTTGAGAACCTGGGAGTTGCAGTGTGGAAAAATCGATTTCTCAGTTTGTTCTGATATCTGTGGCTTGTCAATTCTTCTGCCTCGGTGTACCTGTCTGTAAAACAGCATGTGGTGTCCTCTCTGCTAATGGGTGCTCAAGAGCTGTGGGCAAACCACTGATTAGTCACAATCATTTAGTCAAAACGACAGCTGATATTTTCTCATACGCACTACTAGCTTAGGAAAAATGTCTGGGAAATTCACTGGTTTATGTTTCCCTTGTGTATTTGCTGTTGTTTGTGTGCTTGATGATAGCTTTCTGTGTTGTGTTTGGTACAGATGTTGCTAAATTGTGCTGTCTGCTTCTAGTTCACAGCTTGTGGTCTGCTTCTAGAATATTTGTGAATGTTCTTTTGGTTTAAGTAGTGCAAAAGCTTCTTTCCACAGAGAAATGTAGAAGCAAAACAGGATGCAGATACTGCTGTGATAACTCATTTTGTTTCAGTATGTTCTGCATCGTCGCTACTGTTGGGATTTACCTCGTCCACACCCTCTGCCATACAGCTCTATTTCACAGAGACACAGCATGTGTGTACACAAAACATGCATGCACCCACAGTCTTAAACATCATATTGTGAGAGAACCAAAAGGTCTGAGCATGTTGACTCAACTATTTAATGAGGTGTAATAAATCTTGACAAGACCAGCTGGCACTAGAGTCAGGCTTCTCATCTTTTTACCATTACACTGAAACGTGAACAATAGTGGAAAGAAATGTAACTCTTCTTTTTCTTTTTTTGGTCCTCAGATCTGTAGCACTGTATTGAATTCATCTACTTTCAAGGAATGCAAAGCATGGTGGATGCTGTGGAAAAAATTAACGATGTAAAAGCCCTTTTTTCTGCTTCTTTTACTCAGATTCTGAAAATATCATTGATCTGACAGATTACACAAGTGTGGTCACCATTAATATCCCTCTAACACGCGTTTGCTGAGCAGAACAGCAGTGCTGAGAAATGATACCCAAAACATGTTTAAAGTCTGGTAGTGAGATGTGTGGTACCTCATGCTGCTCTTGCCCTAACTGCTGACTTCTCCAGCATTTTGGACTCTAGCAGCTCCTGCTCACTCCCAAACCTCTTTCTCCCAGCCTGTCTGCATTTTTATAGTTTATCACCAAGCTTCTCTGCTGCGTGGCACACTGTGAAACCCATTCCTCTTTCTTAAAACTTCTTCAGTTCTTTTTCTCTCAAAGGCCATGCCGCCACGATCAGCAGGGTTACTGACTTTTACCATGCTCAGTTCTGTGAGTACCTTTAGAGGAAAAACATGCAAGTGATTAAGCGGCTCAGACACCCAAATTTCTGAAGTGATTCCAAAGCACTCAACTTTTGTCCTCCCAAATAGGATTCCTATTTAATGAACCAGATTAATTTTAGTGAAAAAGAACTCTTTTTAAATAATGGACTTCTTATTTAGGATGGGTTTTGTTCCTGATGATGATGTCCATCAATCTTTTATATTCCCAGCTCAAATACTTAATGACAATCAGTCCTTAAAAATAATGGCTCCCAAACCAACTAGATGCCTCTGGATTCACATGGGAGAATGAGAGAGACTGCCTGAGCTTTGCAGTGTATCTCATAATGATAACTGACATCCAGAATAACTGCACCTCATTGCTTTACGATTACAGCATTTGATGTGTGCTGGGCTCTGGTGCTTGGTGGAAGGAGATACATCCTGTAAAACAAAGTTGGATCCCCCTCTGGATGGCACTGAGTGTGGCGCAGACAAGGTAATCAAAATACTCAGCAGCAATGAGTTTGTTTTTTCCAGCATTGTCAGCGGAGTAATGTTTCCAAGATTCAGTATTTATCATGAATCCACATTTTATACCAATACTGTAACAAAAATTGCTCAGTTAACAGCTGGATTGGGTCAGATCTTACTGATTTTATTAAGCGTATTCCAGTAGCCTCTGGAGACCACAGCTTGTGGTCAAGGTGATACACAAACACTGTAGGAAAACTCCATGCCACACTGTTTAAGTGCACAGACTGAGTACCTGTGAGTCACGTTAGGTAGTCGCCCACTCATCACAGGTTGTTCATTGCTGCAGGTGGTGTTTCAAGAGTGAGGGTTTTTTTTCAGTGCAAGCTAAGGTAAGGTAGTGTTCTTGGCTGTAATTGAGATAGGAAGTATGGGGAGCATTTAGACTGGCATTTTGGAAGTGGAGGCAGATGGGGAACAAGAGGCCATTTAAAAACTTTTTAGTTACTAAAAGTAGCTCAAAACATGTTGAGATTAAATTCATTGATGTTTAGTTATTTTTTCAGTAATATTTGCTTTACTGTATGTATCTACTTAGATGAATAAGGTGTGTGTGGACTTTCCAGAGTCCAGGTCAATGGAGAAAGCAGTTACAAGAAGCACAAAATAAACTCAGAGGTTATTAGATCTCCCTGCAGTGGAATTCACTGCTTTGGTAGCTAGCTTCAGTGCTGTAAGAGTGGGAGTTTCTGAAACTGAGCTGCTACCTCCCAGCTGTGCTAACAGAAGTATACTTAAGTGAAGATGTTTAACCTCTAGGATGGGATGTGCAGGGTGATGTGTGGTTCATTCTCCCACTGTGGCTGATAACTCATTAAGCCACAAAGAAACTTGATGGCTTTGGTAAATGCCCACCCCCTTACTTACTAGTTTTGGATTTACTGTATGCTGTGTGGCTTGAGAGGTAAGAAAGAGTAAACTTTAAAAGATTGTTGCTAAAAAGAAAGATTAGAGGCCTATGCTTCCAAATGGAAGATAAACAATGACAAGAAAAGCTGTGCTTTGGAAAGCATAACAAGGAAATCGAGACAAGAAGTTTTTAAATACATGTTTTTCTAACTGCAGGAGTTTCAGCGAATCTTTCATAATACCTCTTTGCAATGCTTACTATATCATATCCTGGACAGAGGAGGAGAATGGGCCAAGTTTGCTACTTGGCTAGGAGCCAGCGTAGCTTATTAGAATCGAAGGTTGGTTGGGGCTTTAGCCAAGTTAGGGTCAAAATACTGGATGATTTTGTACATACAGGGAATACTGCCGATGAAGACATTGCTTTGGGATATAATTTCTTGGATTTGGTTTCCATGAAAAGCATTGTTTGAAGTCTTTGCATTTAGATAATTACGTGCGTTATGAAGCAAGGGGCCAATTTCTATGATTATGTATTCTTAATGACAGAAATTCCTGTAGGGATTGATGGAGGGTGACACTTAAACTTCTATATTTTTCTTCATCCATCACACAGAAGCCTGGAATCTCCACAGATTTAAACATGGGCATATAATCTCTGAGACATCCTTTTAAAGTCCACCAGTACAGGATTGTTTGCAAGATCCAGGGCTCCTTTCCAGACTCTGCTAACGCAATTGCATTTCAGTGGTGCCGAGCTGGGGAGTGTGTCAGTAAAACTCCCATCCCTGAACATGTTGATGGAGACTGGAGCATGTGGAGTCAGTGGAGCATGTGCAGCCGGACATGTGGCACAGGAGTGCGATTCAGACAGAGGAAATGCGACAATCCCCCGTAAGTCTTCACTGATTTCTTCTTGCATGTAGCACCTAGGCAAACCTTGCTGCAAAAATACAGTAAAGAAATGAGCAGCAGAGCTGTGGGGGAGATGCAAGAAACTTGATGTTCACCAGCAGCAAAGACTGAATCAGAATCCAAGAGCAACTACCTGGAGCAAAGCACGCTGTGTGGAAATGGCTTGAGGGGTTACCATTGGAAGTGGCCCAATGCAATGGTTCAGATGCAGATACAACTGAATTCAAGACCTGTAGTTTGGCAGAGAAAATATACTGTGTTTTCTCTTCAGCACTGCAGTGAATGAGACAGGGTAATCTGGATCTACAGAGCAAACTGAGCCAATATGTCTTAGAGATCAGTTTTGCAGGCAATGCTGGCTTTGCCTCTGCCTCCGGGAAGCAAAAGAGTGGCTGACAGTGGTCATAGTGTCATGTAGCAGTGTTGATCAAGTACCTTGAGAGATATTCTATACATCAGGATGTATTACATATGAAAAGGAGAGTATTCTGCACACATAGTAAAGTGGGTACTTGGAGTTAACCTTTTCAGATTTTTTCAAGAAGAAATGGAGGTGATATAATCTCTCGTGCAGTCCTTCATCTCTCTGGTTAATTGAAGCATACCTGAAGTCCTTTACAAGAGGCCTGAACAGGTTACCACAGTGGCTGTTTAAATGAACACCTCTGTTCAGGTGCATTATCTTTTCTGAGATGAATAAGAGCAACCTTCCAAGTTATGCATCTCCAGATTTATTTATATTTTAAGATTTTCTTCACTGAAAAAGAACAGGAAACTTTAAATAGAGGCTGAGATTCTGGATGGCAGCAGTCACTTTGAAGACATGCCCAGATGATGGATAGACATCCACTGGCTTCTGCTGGGATATATTCATATTAAAGGGGATGTTTTTGTTTATTTCTCTCCTTTAGTAAAGCAGAACTACAACTGCATGTCTGTAATGTCCAGACTTGATTTTTACCAGCTTGTTTTCCTGAACAAGGGACTTAGCTGATTTCTTTGCTGTCAGCTACAAAAAGTCTCTTTAACCACAGCGCTGACCAAACCTAAATCCATTCATCATCGTTCCTTAAATTACAGGAAATGCTCCCTCCAAGATTGCACATTGATTTTAAAATTCTCTTGCTCATATACATTCTTGGCTGGGGATACACACGTGATCTTCTTTTGCTTCATATTCCTGGCATCAGCCCACTTCTTCTGCAGCTGGTTTATTCACTGTCCAAAAGTATTGGCTGAGGGATTTATCTTTTATTTTATATGTATTTGGTCTTCAAATTTTTTTCTTTGCTGGAATCTGTACTCCTGCCAGCTGACTTCTGAGCCTGTGGGACTATCAGTATTTTTAAACCAGTTGCTTCGCTGTTTGATTTGGTTTTTCCTCTCTGTAATTTCTGTCAGTACTTGCATGCATTGCCTCTAAATGATTGTAAAGCAGTGTGTCATTAGCCAGTTTGCACATGCAAACTTTTGAGCTATACTGCCTTGTGTGCTTGTCCAGGCTTTGGACTATTTTCATACAGTGGGACTGAAGATAAAAACACAGGCTTAAACAGAACAGGATAATGAGATCCCCATCCCTTCTCCCATCCTCTCTTGTCATGTGGAAGACTCAGGGCTTTATAAATGATCTCTTCAGTTCATTAGTGGGTAGATTTCTTGGCAGAAACGTGGTGGAATGGTGGATGATGGCCGTGAAGTTTTCTACCAGGAAATCTGAGTCAGTGTTTCAGGCATGTATCAGGATGGCCTTGAATTAGACTGTTAGTTGATAGTCCCAGCCATTGCTGCAGCCCATACTGTGAGGACTTGGGGCTGTGCTGCTGCTGTGTAAATGGACAGGACAACTCTTACTGGGACTAATGACACAAGTAATGCTATTCAGTCAGGGCCCTGGTTTCTAACTAGCAGTGTGATACAACGTGATGCTGATTGCCCTTCTGGGAGGGAGAGGAGAAGAAGCCTTTGGAATGAATTGCTAATAATTGCTAACAACTGGAATTTGGCTGGATTTGCTTTTCATAGCATCTGTTTAAAAAAAGCAAGGACATGACTTTATCCATCTATTCTGATTACAACTAGAAGATAGATATGTCATAGATAGAATTCAGGAGAGTATCAGCAATAGCTACAAAAAATGGTGATCACTTAGGGTGGCTTTTTCTTGTTGAGTTTTTTGGGGTTTTTTGGTTGATTTGGTTTCTTTTTGTTTTGTTTGTAAAGAAGCAAAATATAGGCATTTGTCAAGAGTTTTAGTTTTCCTTCTCTGGGGAATCATAAATATATTATAAAAAATAAAAATAAAAAATTGCAGATGCTTAATTCTGATGCTGGATTAGTCACCTTTCCTGCATGCTTAAAAAGAGATATGTAAAGTGGCATGGCTTTCAAGGATGGAGACTGTCCACTGCACAGATTTGTTTTTGAAAACCATACTTTAGCTACAATTTGTAGCTTTTTCTGTAATATTTTCTTTTCACGTTGCTGAAAAAAGAACCTTAGAGGATGTGCTGCAGAGACATTTGCTGTATCTCTTGTTAAAGGTGTTTGAGATTCATGGCCAGGATACGAAAAATTGAACGCTCTGTATCTTTGAAGAAGGCTACTTAGTGGTTAAATTACCTCCTATCAGAAGAGTGCCATGTGCAGTCAGCCACCTACTTACTGATCCGTGTATGGACACTACAAAAGCACATGCTTCTGAAGCACTCCAGAGCATCTCTTCTGATAAACCAATTATATATCCACCATGCAGTTTGTATATTTCTGTTAGAGCCATGCAGAGCAAGATTTGCACTCCAGGAAGAAATGTCAGAAGGGAAGGATCCTTTCTGCTATTTTACTAGTTGGCTTGGACAGAAAAACTTAAATAAAGATATGCCTGCGTGTAGTTTTGCTATTCCTATTGACCTTGTTTTTTCTTGTGTGCAATAGGCCAGGGCCAGGTGGGAAGAACTGCCGTGGAGCCAGCGTGGAACACACCGTGTGTGAGAACTTGCCCTGCCCCAAAGGTGTGCCGAGCTTCAGAGACCAGCAGTGCCAGGCCCATGACAGATACACCAATAAGAAAAAAAGCCTCCTGACAGCTGTGGTCGTTGATGGTAAGTTTTTTCAGCTTCCTCTGCGTTTTCTTGCTGTCCTTCCACTGTGGCTTATTAACCTATCTTGATTTCATCTGCAATACCCCCAATTTTCTGTAAGAAAGCTGTAGAATGTTCCCCTTAGCTGCATCTGAAAGATGAATTACAATTACTTGTTCCTGCCATGCTGTTCCTCAAGCTTTCTTAACAGAAGCTGTCAGTCCTTTATACAGTGTGGAAGAGAAGGTACCTGAACTAGATTCCCAGTGTGAGCAGGCAAATATTCATGTAGAGATTCATGTAGAGACTGCATTCCTTTGCTTAGTTGCTGTTGCCTCACACACTTGTCTGTGCTGCTCATCAAGACACATGTATTTCTTTTTTTCCAGATAAACCATGTGAGCTTTTCTGCTCTCCACTGGGGAAGGATTCCCCTGTGCTGGTGACTGATAGAGTCCTCGATGGCACTCCATGTGGGCCTTATGAGACTGACCTCTGTGTACATGGCAAGTGCCAGGTGGAGTAGCTTTCTCATTTTGTTTTTAATATAATCTGGAGTAGCTATATATGTCCTAAAAGAGCAAATGTCTGTGTGGGTGGCTGGGCAGCCCTCTCTGAGGTGAGAGGGTGACCCTGTTTTGTAATACCCGTTGCAAGTGCTCTGTAGCTCTGTCTTTTATGGAGCACTGTGATAAATGCCCGTGGTATGAAAATATTACTGAACAGCTGGGAACGTTCAGTGATCATATTTGCTCATGTGTATTCATCAAATAGCTTGGGTGGGAAGGGGCTTCTGTGAGAGAAGAGGATGGGAGTGGAAATCTGGCTTGCTTAACTGCTCCATTTCTGCTATTAAAGGAATTGCTGAAAAAATGTCGATGCTGAAAATTGGAGTATAAATCATTACTATCCTGTTGTAAATGTTGTGTTAACAGCATTATGATGCTTTTCATCTCTCTCTGGGGCCTGTGTAGAAATACTGAGGAAGCTTTTTGATATTACTTGCTTTTTGGCTCTTGGAGCTGCATAAACCTGGGGCTTCACCTGTGCATCCTTTATCCATGTGATTTTTCATTTTATTACTAGATAGTGCCAGGGTGATTTTCTGACCTTGGTGCCCACCAAAAATGTTTGAAAGGCCTTTTTCCTCTGCAGTAAGAAAAAAGTTCCCTTCCTCTTACAAACTCAGTTATAAAGCCCCAAGCAATAGACAGAATTAGGTTTACAAGAACAGATCCAGCAGTCTAGAGCATGACCAGTTTTCTTTTGCCTCTCATCTGTGTTGTCTCATGCTCAGGTCACAGAGAGAGAAAACCTAAAAGATGATAGGATAGACCTCCTTCTGCTGTCCTCTATGAAATGTTACTAGCTGCATGGATTGGCCAAACCCTGAGGATGCTAATCTCCTTTTATTTCTGGTCAGATGGGAGTGGAAATGAAGAGGGCTCTGTCCAAATGTCTTGATTTCTGTGAGCAATGATTAAGAACTAGCTGTTTTATTGCTAGTAGGCTGTAGATGAGCATAATATTGACACAGGTATGAGAGAGGCCTTGGGGACATAATGCAGTCTTACTAATAGCAATGTGACGAGGTAAGTGAAAAGGCTTTGTCTGGATTGAGTTTTGCACTGCTGAAATAGACACTTCCCCCTTTTTCCTGCCAACATAGCTGCTGAAGGTGCATGTTTAATTCAGCCTTTATAATTTATTCAGATGAAGAATCTGAACAACAGCAAGTTGTGGGGGAGCCAGCATAGGCTTGATTATTTAAATGCTCTTTAATAAAAAATGCCTTGCACAGAGCCAGGTTCGTGGTGCATCCCAAGTTACTTAATTTTTCCCTGTTTTCAGCTGTATCTTAAAAAAAACCCTGAAAATCCATTAATAATCTTTTATAGTAAGGCCAGCTGTGCACCTCCAGCTGTGTGCCATTGACCATTATGCTGGGCTGGCCAGATTTACTGCTCCAAATGTTCAGATCAGCCACAAATGGTAAATCAGACCTTATGGCAATGTACATTTTCTTCTTCCAGTGAACAGCAGTAGCCAGCTCCCATCCAAATGAAAACCTTTATGAGCCCGGAGCTTTGGAGGTACATCTTGGAAAGCAAATTGTGCTCTTAACTTGGGGGCAACTGCCTTAAACTGTTCAGAGAGGTGATGACAGCTGCAGAACATTCAGTCCATTTGCATCTGGCTGGGAGAAAATGCAAAATGATCAATTCAAGCCGAGTAGTTTTGAAAGTCTTGTGAAGTCATTTATAATAATCTTCTGCCTTATATGTAGTCTAGTGCTGAGAATCACCATGTGTGACTATGTACCTCATTTGCTATAGATGCTTGTCAAACTAGCTGTCTATTAAATGAATTTAATCATCATATTCATTTAATTACTCTTGTTTTTTTCCCCAGTGTAGACAAAGCCTTGCAACAAGCATGGCGGGAGGTCTGGAGTACAGAATAAGTGCTGAAATCAGAGGGTGGTATTGCTGTTATTTATTTTCTTGTGTAATCCGTGCTGTTAGAGGCTCTCAAAGGCAGGAATGATACATTGCCAGAGTACAGGCATGTTAGCAGTATCCATTGCTTGTGAATCATAGAATCACAGAATGGCCTGGCAATGCAACAGCTCTCTTCCCTTTAGCAGTGTTTGCTCCTACATGCATTGTTGATGGAAAAAGGAATTCAGTTTGTCTTTGCTATGTTCATCTATTCTTTCAAGGAGAGTGGGGTTTTGAGAAGGGAAACAGGAACAGGATCTTTGAACTGGAGTTGCACATTAAAGGGTGGAGAGTCTTTCTTTCACTGTATGTTATGAACTTCTTACAGCTTCATTTTAAAACCATGAGCTGAGCTCCAGTCCAAACAGTGTGAATTAAATTTTTTTGTGTAAGCCACACTGAAGCAAAATCACAGTAAGCAGCAATATTTACCACTTACAACTGAAGGCAGCTGGATTGAGTAAATCTGATTAATCCCGTGGTCATTCAGAGAGGCAATAGAACAGAGCAAAGTCAGCCCTAAATTTAGCACAGAAATTCCTAAGTCACCTCTATTTTTCTATAATTTTGCTCTTTGTCTTTGAGATAAATCTGAGGTCCTTATTCAGTTTTATCCTGTCTTTGTTTATTAGAGTTGCCTTTCAGGATGAGCATTTTGTTCATGATAGTCGTAGAAGTGTCCCAGCATGAGGACGAGACAAAAGCTGTGTAAGAGCTTCAGGAGTTGGTGTGAAAAATTGAGGATAGTCTTATAAAGTTATGCTGTTAGAAGAGATACTGCTGAGTAAAAGTAAATGCATTTATTTGTACTGTCTTCTGGTACAAAGTGCAGTGTTCATATAGGTATTGGATCTTTCCTGTCTGAAATGCACACTGTCTTCTAGTAAGGAGAATTTATTTTCTCCTGGAGTTTTTAAGAGATGAGAGATCTGTAACAGGTTAAGAACTCTGTAGTCTCTCTCTTATGTTCTTTCATGGTTTTCTTTCTCTAGTATGGACATTACAGCATTGGTGAAGATAAGGTAATGCAGTCCAAACTGCACCCCAGATTGCTTTTATCTTCTCCTATTTTTCTCCAAGTGGCTTTCAGAGAGAAGATTTCCTGGGGTTTTTGTTTTTTTCCTCCAGGCTGTTCAGTGCACATTTCATGAGACAGCATTCATGGAAACTCTGTGCTCTCTGACCTCTTACAGTTCTTCATTCTGTTATGCTGCTCATGTTAGAAGCAAGCTGCTGGCTGAAGTAGAGCTAAAAAAACGTGTTAGATGCCACTAGAAAGTGTTGTGGAGAGAAGACAAGCTGCTCAGCTGACTGTTGTGATGCACATGACTTTGTGCTGACTGTTTTGAAAGGATTATTCAAAGACTCATGATAGCATAAGAACTTTGCAGTGGAGACTACAGATTGTGCTTCAGGATGTAATCTGAGGTCTTGTACAGCAGAACCTGGCTAGAGATCAAAGGCAGTCTTTGTGATTTAATAACGTAAAAGGTGAAGATGTTTTGACTCTCTTGAGTTTTCTCATTAATGTTTTGCTATGTCATGGCTACTTTTAGCTTTTTAGTGAATCTACAGTCCGTTTCATGTTGACAAGCTACACATTAGGCTGTTCTGGCACAGTAAAAATGCTATAGAATGACTGTCTTCCAAAAGTGACTGTAATACAGTCTGAAAGACAAGCATAAATTTGAAAATGGATACATTTCCAGGAATAGTCTTTGCAGATTGGGTGGACAGAGTGTCAGGAGAGGGCCACAAGTGGCAGAGGATAAATTGCAGTTGTCTGCTGGACCTATTGTTGGCAAATGCTTTTCCAACACACTTAGTACCCATGTTTTGCATTTGATTGATGCATGCAGTTCTGGCTTTGCCTCCTCATCTGATGATTTCCCATGTATTATTCATAGTCCTGCATTATAAACTGTGGTACAAGATGTTCCAGACTGAGTAGCTTGTCTTCATACAGCTTGGCTCTGTGCTGTACTTCGATAAATCGTTTGGTATTGCTCACAAAGTCTAGGAAGGGATTATTTGAGCTATAGATACCTACTGTATAATTGCTTTTTTCTCAGTTCCTATTTCTATACCAGTGTAATCGTAGAAAGACTGCTGAGGGTTTGGTGAGTAGGGCACAGCAACAATATGCTACCTTCTATTTTGCTAGTTTTTCGTGTACTTTACAATGGAATATGAAAAACCATGCTGTTTTCCCACTCTTTTTCTTCTATGTTATCTCAACAGACCGTATAATAGCCAGTTCATTGTTAAATACCTTGGAGACTTGACTTCGTTCTTGTAGCTCTAGCAGTCAAGAATTGAACAGAAAGGAGGCTGTATATATTATGCAATGCTAAATATATATTATTTTCTCATCCAGAACTGACATGATAGATGGCACTTTTACAGAATGAGTAGTTGATGTAAAATCCTCTGGTATTTGCAACCTGTTGATATTTGTACAAACCAGGGCAGAGGGGAGGTAGACTCAGGTTTGAGGCATCCATTCAGATGAACCTGATGTAGAAGGATCAGAAAAGGATTGCTACAGAAAATGGCCAAAAACCAGAAGCAAAATACTTCCACGGATGGGAAAAGTCTGTGAGCAGGAAAGCGCTTTGTATTACTTTCATGTAGTCTGCTTTGATGCCAAAACACAGGGATTATTGACATATAAGCCTTCAAGCTTTGTATGTGGAAAGGTAGTTATCGGGAATAACTTTGTGTGGCATTATCATGAACTGCTAAGAGATCTAAGCACAAACTCAATGGGCATCATTGTGTGTCTAATGTGGATAAGATAACAGCATAAAATAAGTAGTGCATATTTCCTGTTCTAGAAGCACTGCTCTGATACAGATAAAATCCAGGACAATGTTTTCAAAACTAACTTTTGTGTTGACTCCAGTCTGTAACACAAAATTTGTTGTGGTACAGAAAGAGAAGTAATTTAGAGATGAACTGCTTTACTGGGTTCTGTGCTAACTCTCTTGTGCAAATCCTGACAGATACCCGTAATTCTCTACAAATCTTGTTTAAAACGAAGAAATAAAAATTCTCTTACCCTGAAATCTGAATCAGTTGCTCAGATATGTACATTCCTGTTTCATGTAGTCCATCCCTTGAGGTGTCAATGGACACTGGATACTCTGGACAAAAAGTTGGCAGTGCAGATGAATCTGTCATAACCACCATGCTCTGTACATGATTAATTTGTAAAATGGCACATGTTGCATCAATATTTATATTTGATCCATTGAGACAGCTAGCTAGTTCAGCATATGGGAAGCATTACAGTTTTGTGAGCCTACAATGTCTTTTCTTACAGAGGGTGGGTATATATAACAAAAATAATTGTTTATGTAGCAAAACATATTCACACAGGCTGTATCAATTGAGTTTTTGCACAGCCATTCACAATACAAATAAAAATATCATTAAAATATCCAAGCAGTACAGAAAATAGTTCACACAGAAGAGCCCAGATGATGTGCGTTCAAGAGGAGGAGTTTTCCTATGCTGGAGCCAGCAATGACTGAAGCTGGAAATACCACCCAACAAGCAGTATTTTCAGATGTCTAATTACAAAAATAAGAAGGGGAAGGGAGAGAAGGAAGGGTGGACTGAGGTATCATCTCAGAGAGAATGAATTTCAGGCTTTTGGCTCGGTGAACATGCAATTACCTGCCAATTTAAAGGTCAGTCAATAGTCACAAAACATGATGTCAGAGTAGGAGACTGCCTGGGTTGAAAATCCTTAAGAAATCTGTGGATACAGTTATCACTGTCAGTGCTGAGAAGTTGAAGCCCAAAAAATCTATCTTGAAATTTCCTGCTGGCACTTAATATTTTAATGTGGGCAAGGGGTTGGCTTTGGTTTAAAATCTGTTTCCTCTTTGTCTAATGCTGATTTTAGCAGTGCTACGGCACTTTCAACAGCTAGCACAGGCAGGAACTGGAACTCTTGGGTGATGCCAGCACCTTCAGCTTTGCTGAAGTTAAGAATGTCACTGTCCAAGTCCATGTTGGACAGTACAGAAAGTTCTGTGAGCCCAAGGGCATGGCTGGCAGTGGTGCGTGCCCACACAAACTCCTAGTAGCAAATGGTGCCTATACCAGGCTAGCTGTTCGTTTTTTATTCTTCCTTTTGAATATAGTAGAGCTCCAAGTACCATGCTCATTCCTGAATGGATCATCTTAGTAGAAAAAGAGAAATGCTTCTCTTCTTAGCAGTCTATTCAAGACTGCTGAAACTGGAAGTATCCAACCAGTACTGGGCGTACTTGTTCATGGATTTGATTTGCTAACCTGCAGGATAACTCTTGGGTCTGAAAGCACACAAGATGCTATTTGCAAGGTCTGTTTTCCCTCGGGGCATAAAGTTTCCCCTTTCTGCTCTTCTGCTTCTTATTTAAAAAAAAAAAATAAAAAAATCACCTTACCTTGTTGAGTACGCTGGACTGAACAGCAAGCAGTTAGAGGTGATAAAGATCTAGCATGAACTACTTAGGATTCAAGGCATGGTTTCTGCACTATGAACACTTGAGTTTTGAGCAGTGTAACTTGCCTCCCCCAGGTCTGGTGGGGCTCAGGCTTTAGCCTTTGGCCCCTAGTGATGGAGTGTCAGCAACTTTCTCACCTAGACAGAGGCTGCAGGTCTCTCTCGAGTAAAATAACCAAGGACCGCTGTCAATTACTTCCCTCCCAGGAAGTGTGGATTCTGTGCTCTCCCTGTCCTCAGAGAGGATCTCCCAAAGTGTGTCAGTAACTTATGTGGGAAGAAATGGCTTATCTTGAACCCCAGTGTCAAAATAAAGGGTCTTGCTCTTTCAGAGGCTTGCAGTAGTTTATGTTAACTGGGAAGTTGCAGCATAAATGCAAAGCATGTGGTTGCTGACTCCCTGTTCTCTGCATGCCTCCATTATAGTCCTATAGACTCCTCATGTAGAATGGGGAATAAGTGTGGTTCAACACTCATATTCCTTTTATTCATTTGTGTGCTCACATAGTGCTAATAACAATGCAGTACAATAAAAGATAGCACAAGAGCCCTAAATTAAACACAGCCTTTCCAGTATCTCAGCAGGGTGGCAGTCAGGCATGTATTTCCAGCTGCCTTTCAGCAAGCCCATTAATAAATCATAGTTATTTTCCTGGAAGGAGAACAGCTGGGACATCCTTCTGTTTTGGGGCAGAATCATATTCAATATCCCACAATTATTTGTTGGACATGGGTGTGAAGAACTGCCCTAAGAACTGGAACTGCTCAGTCATCATCTTCAACTTGACTTAATGCCCACTTACACAAGGTTTTCTGTACTCCTTGTCCAACAACTTATGTGTTCTACTGTTCTACTTAATGAGCTTGTATGAGCTTGCGTATGTTTATGTATTTAAGAATAATGATCCTTTCTGAGCTTTTATCTGTCTGTAATGATTTGTGTTGACAAACAGTGCATCAGATTGTGTCTGAATGCTGGCCATCTTTCATCCCCAAAATACATCTGGACTTAGGCAGTGGCCCATGACTTCTAAAATATGGAGAATGTTTTAGTTCATGTCCAGATCATATTGCTTATGTGCAGGCAGCCTCAGAAGAAAAAAAACAAAAAACCACCTGGAGTTCTCATAGCGTTTCTCCACTTATCCTGTTTTTCAGAATGTTGGTTATGCTGTGGTTGTTCCCTGAGATCTCTCTTCAACTGGCTTTATTATAAGAAGATAAGGAAGGGAGAGACGTGGCAGCCTTGTTCAAATGAGGGTTGTTAATGACAGTAATGACAATTCTGCTAACTCATTTGTCAAGGAACTGTTTGTCTACAAAGAATGAATTTTCACCTTATAGTAGAGTCTCTGCTAATAACTTGCGTAATTAGAACTCTTATGTCAGTAAAAGTTCATGTATTGAGTGAATTACTGATAATTTCGAGACTTATGTGGACAGAAACACAATTCACACAGACCAATCATGATGTTAATATGATGTCTGTAATTTAATCTTATTGCCTTCTAGATCTACAAATGTGCAGTAGTTACCATCACAACCTTTTAATGGTTTGTGAGTAAATAAGCTTACTGTGGCAATCTTTGTAGCCCCAGGGAGAGTACTGTGACTGTGCAGGTAATACCTGTCTGTGAAGCAAGGCCGCTTCAGAGATTTTTGTTGGTAATTGTTTCGGTAGAAATAGGAAAGTATGAAAATACCACACAAAATGAAGTTTTAGGTGAAATTTTTTTTTTTTTTTTTTTTTTAACAAAGGAACGTCAAAGCTCAGTACAGACAATACAAGCATCTGGGAAGATTAATAATTGCATGAAAAATCGTGTGGTACCTACTGGCCATATAGAAACCTGCCTTGCTTCCACTGAAGTGATTGTGCATTGCAGGTGCCTTGAGCTATATGATTGGTGAGATCTTTTTTCAGATGCACAATTGGATTTGAGCACCCTGGAACTTATAATGGCACTCTAAAGTTTTGTGAGGTGAAGATAGCACCAAGATTTTGGTTACTTGGGTTAACTGCCGTTTAAGTGAGTCATGTTTTTCTCTAAGCTAAGTATCAAAGTAGTGGTCCTTATCTCTGGGATGTCTTTAGTTTCTCAGAAATTGCTATACAAACATGAAGCATCATTGTAATCTTTCATGTTTTTCAAGCAAGTTAGAGTAGGTTAGTGTGAAATATCTGATGATATCTGGAAAAGTTAGTGTTTGTGGAAAGTCTCTTTAGTAGTGTCTTGTGAATCAAAATACATGCTCTTAGTGTTAGGGAAGGAGGTTGCTAAATTGCCAACTCAACGCTGTTCCAAATGAGTGCTCGGTTGATTCACACCATTCTCTTCCTGTTCATCTTATCAGTCCGGTGTCTATCTTAGTGTTGACATCAATGTTTAGAGATGCTTTAACCTTGCAAGCAAAATAATGGGGACCTCTGGTTGTTGTCATCAGAAAATTGGCTGCGATGGAATCATTGGCTCAGCTGCCAAAGAGGATCGCTGTGGAATCTGCAGTGGTGATGGCAAAACCTGTAAAGTGGTGAAAGGCGACTTCAACCACACGAAGGGGATGGGTGAGTAACCCTCAGCAGCATTTCAGTAGAGTGGAGGTTCTCTTAAGTGATCGAGGAGAGTTAAAGAGAGGCCGTAATAGCTCTTCTTCTAGGATATCATTTAACACAAGGTAGAAGAGGGCGACTGTTCTCTAAAATTGCATGATTTCTTTTATGTATGAGAACACAAAAACTTAGTAATGTTCATGACGTCCTACTCTTGCAGACAGTGCACAGGGGGCGAACCCTCCTGGGTTCTCTGATTTTTCTCATTTTCAACCAGCGTGCTGCCAGAAAATGTTCTGTAAAAGCGTGTGGTGAGGAACCACTAAAAAGACATGCAAGAATGAGAATATTGGCTTGTCCCTAGTCCTGCTTATGAGAAACTAGATATACAAGGGTAGATAATCAGAGATTCACTCCTACGATTTGCTGAGCCTCTTGTTAGATGGTGAGTTGGGATTGCTGAGAACTTGTCAGGATCAGACATGATGGGGCTGTGGAGTTTCCAAAATATTTTTCATTTAGAACAACATCTAGCTAGGAACACCAGCCCTTAGTTCAGTGATGATAGTCACTGAATGTCTGCTTCTTATTCAGTTGTACAGATACCAGCCATTTCCTCTGTCTGAAATTCAGAGTGAAGTTGTGTTTCTCATTTTGAATACTACTGGTGCTGTTGATTTTTAAATAACAGGTAAAATCATAGTATATTCTCCAGTGGAGGAAAGTCTGATTTCAGCACCATCTTTGAGCTCTTTGGGAGCTCTGAATGATGCTCATTGTATGCTACAATGATTTATTCCATAATCAGTATATTTCAGCTAAATTAAAAAGACCTCCCCTCTGAATATTATTACTGAAACCCTGCCAGCCACAGCATCCACTATAAAAGATCTTCTGGTCAGACTGAAGACTTTCCCCTCTCTTGTTAAACGTTAATGTATATACACCTTGGTGTCTGAATTAGTCTTTGTTCCAGAGTTTCTCTTCTGCACTTCTAAGAAATGTGTTATCACTCAACCTTATCAGGCAAAGGGAGGGAAAGTCAGGCTCAGGACTTGCAAGCTCCTTCAGTAGGAAGGAAGTGTTCAGAAAAACTGATTTCACATTTAGTAAATGCAGAATTGCCATTTTGCTATGTAGAAATACATTCAAAATGTGCTACTCCAGGACAGCACAGTAGAGCACTCAGAAATAGATTTCACTTAAGCACGCACTTCAATTCTGTTTAATTACTGAAGCACCGTAAGTGCTTAGTAGCTTCCCTGAATCAAGGTCTCAGCACTGAATTCTGAGTCTCTAATTTTGAACATTGACCTTCTCTGTATCCTCTTCCTCATTTGTGAGGGGCAAGTAGAATTTCCCACCTCAGCCATGTCTTTCTGGAGCACGCATGCGTTGTTGCATTGCTAGGCCAACCTGCTAAATGATTTTCTGCATTATTGCCTTTGACTCTTTTGACCAAGTTATTTTTCACCTTTTTTCACCTTTTGTCAAGGCATTTGCATTTGATAGAAATTATTGAAGAATTTTCTCATTTCAGTTGTAAAAATTACATTGTTTTGTGGGAAGAGCTTTAAAAACCATCCACAAAGTGCCAAAAAGTCTTCTAGATTGGGAATCATCTTTGCATTTTATTTTGTAAAAGAAAACAACCATTTACACTTTTTTAATTAGTCAGTTATTATTTTCCTGCTTTGGGGTTTCTTCTGTGTTAAACACTGAAAATAGATTTTCACTTACATTTCCCAGCTCCTACTCTGCAAGCATTTTATGCATTGCAGGTTACTCCCATCAATTTATATTTGTATATGAATGTTTTGCAGAATGAGTTCCTCAGATTAACTTAGTGAATCCCATGCAGTGAGCGGTGCTAGATCTGAGGCATCACGCATGAACAAAAAAATGATCTTTTTTCTTTAAATCAGCACTTCAGCAAATATGTACAAAAATCTGATGATCTTTTGGTCGAACAAGGATACACAATGTGAATTCAGGTTTCAAATTTGCAAATGATAGCACAGGTCAGTGACAAATGCCCATAAGCTTGCTGCTGTGCAAGTGAAAGCCAACACACTGTGTGAAGTATGCTACTTTAGTATTTCGGAAGAGAATAACCTTCCAATATCAATGTACTGACTGTTTTGGAGTGGTATCTGTTTTGTGAATTGCAGCTGCTACCTTCAGGCCATATCCTCAGCAGCTGTACGTGTGAAACGCCGCTGACTGTAGGATTGGTCCCTGTGCTTCCTGTGATTACAAACTATGTTATCAAGCCCTGTTAACTGAACTAAACCCATGCCAACTCATTTCTGTTTCTTAGTAACCAATAGTCATTGTAAGAAGGTTTCCACATGTGTGATGGCAAAGGCAAAGTCTGTTCCCAAGTGTTTCTCGTGTAAGATTCTTGAATGCTGTTTGCAGTGTCAGTGGGTGTTGGTGACATCCTTTGGTGTTGGTCCTTCGTCTTCTTTCGGTTGAATTAAATGGGGAGATCGATATCAAAAGCCATGGATAAACTTCAAGACCTTTTACCAGTTGGTTTGTTTTTTTAAAAATACCAGGCACAGATTGTTCCCTTTTAGAAAATCTACCTGTATGAGATTTTTTTCATTAATGAAATGACAAATACTGACTCAATTTTTCATTTATTTTTACTACCTTACTGTCCCATATTTTATAAGATTTTGCTATCCCAGTAGAACATTATGGTGGAACATTCAAAGCACCTCACAGGAGGGACGTCCAGCAGTACAAAACTTGCTGCCTGTGTTTCAGAGTGATCCAACTGTAAATGGATTCCACTTCTTTCTTGGGTAGGAGATCAAAAGTATTTATAATGCTAAATGTCACTGTCTTCAGTAGGGCAGCTGAATGCACTGTTTTAGACAGAGGTTTACTTCTGTCTTGCACCATTCCCTGTACCTAATTCTGTGAGATAACTATAAGATAGTAATACAGACAGATTTATTATCAAGTTCATCTCTGTCTCTCCGCCACTGTACGAGGGACCTGGAACTAGAGGTCAGTTCTTTGGCTCGTATTTGTTGGGTGGCTGATCTGTCTCACAGACTCCAGGGCTGTGCATGCCATTCGCAGATCTGCATTAGGAATGAGATGTTTTCCCTTGCATCTGTTCCTGTGCTGATTTTTTTCTCAGACACATCAAGATTGCAACTCTGCTTGTGATCCTAAAGAATGACTCTAGTTATTTGGATGTTTTCTTTTTAATTACAAAGCGTAATGTGGTGATACCATTGCCAGTTGTATTATTTGATTGAAGAGATGACTAGTGTATCTTTGCTAGCAATTTCTATTTTACGATAATGAAAAAGCAGGCCTTTTATTTTGCACTTTATTTTTCCAGCACACATTTAAAGGAAAGAAAGGAAATTTGAACAGTGGTGCTGTAGTGCTGGCTTGTATCTTTATATAATGCAAGAATTTATTTTCTTTTCAATAAGATATACATTGAAATGATGAGAAAAATAGTGCCCCAGCAGTAACCCCTGGGGTGTCTTACAAGAGTTTAAGCAGAACATGCAAGTTAAATTCTAGCAGCCAATGCTGAAGTAATGGTAGGAGGCTTTGAAATCTATCCATGGCTCCCCGATGAAATTATTTTCATCCAAACAAGCTATCCCATGGCTGGAAGTGGACAGGTGCTGATGAAGGAATTACTCTCAAGATAATAGCAGGAGAGAATCATCACAGCTGCTCAGAAAATGAACATATGGTTACCAGTGGACGTATCTGCACACCACTGCAAAAACTACCATTCAGTAAAATGTGCAAGGTGGGAAGGGCAATGGAAACTAAAGTGCCTAGCTGGTACTCATGCCTAAAATACTGGGGGAGCTCTGCTGGCCTTGACCAGCAGGTAGACAGTGCATTCAATTTCCTTAGCTTCCTCCCTGAGATCTTTGTTCTAAGTACTTTCATGATATTTGATAATGGGCAGAGAACGGTTGGCTTTCTCATACGTGGTCGTCATGTGTGTACAGGGAAAAGATATGAAGGTACAATGCCTAGAGAGCAGTACTTTCAGCCATGGGATAATTTCTCCTTCACCTCAGAAGTCTGTCTTTTGGTGACATGTCAACGGGAAACCAGTTTTGCAGTAGATCAGTGATGTTCTGAAGTTCATACTAAACTTTTTCTTCATTCTGGGAATAATAACAGTGCCTAACAATGGATTTCCCTGTGTGAACTGCTTTCCTCTTGCAAATCTCTCCAGCATTTAAATGAAGATACAGTAGCCACTGTTCACATATTAATCTCCTTGATGACAAAGCCACCTCTTTGTTCTGGTGTCACTCCTAATACGAGTTACACCATGTAATTTGTACCTAGGATTTGCTTCAATCACGGTCTTACATTCCTGAGACACTGATGTAATGCAGATTGTCCAGAAAGATTGGTGTGTGCCAAAGTAACTGTTCCCAAGGTGGAGTGTACTGCATACAGCACTATAAATTATCAAATAATGAAGTTCTCCTGTTGTACTTCCAAAGCTTCATCTTAACAGGCTGATTTATGGGTGAAATTACTAGAAATATTGCCCAATAGTTGCCAAATCTCATCAGTCTTTAACCAATTCCTCATTTAAAGAACTTTAAGCTCAACCTTGCAAACTCTGGCATTGCAGACAATTATCCTAACAGATCTTCTTGATTCTAAGCCAACTCTTGAGACTTTTTGTCTTACAGCTAACACTTGATAATCTTTCTGGCAATCTGCAGTGATAGTTTGCTTAATAAAATGTGTCTGGAAAACAATGTAGTTGTTTTCCGGTGCAGTCGTCTCAAAGACCTGGATTATTATGTGACCAGCAGTGTCACTATAGCTCTAAGGTCCAGATTGGAACAGTGGAAGTGATCTGAACTTGTAGCTGGGACAAATTTGCATGGATGGTGTATAGTATGTTTGCAATCAGATTTGACCCCTAACTCACAATGTTACTAGAAGTAATGACGGAGAGTGTCAAGATTCTTCTTTTGGTACATGCCCAAGAATTCTGCTGCATCTCTGTAAGAACTCATCAGATTCATACAGTTGCTAATTGGTTCAGATTTCACTAAAGGAAAAGTAAGAGTCGGCAGTCAGGTTTCTGCTCCATGATCTCAGTGAGTTAACACAGTATGTTTCTTCTTATTCAGGAGCTGTTGAATACAGCCCTCCAAAGCCATCAGTCAGGATAAGGAATTACATGAGGAGAAAAATCTGGTGTAAGACCAAAGTAAACAGTTTCCAGAACTAATACCCTATTAATAGCTTATATTCCACTATTTACCATTGTAAAAAGTAACATAAAAGTCAGATTTCTCCTGTGGTGTTTCTCTCATGACACAGTGATGAAATGAGAGTGTATTTATGGCACTATGGAGCTTCAAGCATGGCTCCACAGCTTGCTCACCTCTAAAGCAGTGACATTTCTGGCTTTGCCAGGTCAGTGGACAGACCCAGAGTTCACTGAAGTCAGTGGCAGGCTTTCCACTGTGTTCTGTGTAACTTTGCCTTTAGTCTTTGCAAGATTCGGCTCTAGGCATTCATATCTGGAAAACAATTTAAAATATAAGTAAATAGTACCCTTGTAGATACTTTACATTACCTGAAACTTGGGCATGTTCCAAACTGGCTTCCTAACAGGGGTGTTCAGATGTGTCATAGGGCCTATTTTCCTGTGATACACTGTTATGAATCACATCTTCGCTGTGTGCTCATGTCTGGTGGTAATTCTCCATCGGGCTTATATGCAGATGCATGGGGAGCACTGGGGATGTTTGATTTCTGGAACACTCTGTTTTGACTGTAATTTGGTATCTCAGCTGATGAAAAAACAACTCCTGGAAATAACTAGAGTAAAATTCAACATCTGTTTGCTTTGATTTTATAACAGATTTCCGTATTGCATTTAAGAGCTCACCCTGGAAGTTACGATTGTTCCCAGTGAAGCCTACTCTGTACTCACAGATGGGAAGCCACTGCTTTGACCTCTCTGACCAGATATGGTTTGCAGCTCTGCTGTCCCTCTTACTGTTTTTCCTGCAGGGCTGACTATTGCTGAGATATCCTGAGTAAGAGAGAAGTAAGGAGGAAAAAGTGCAAAAAAGACTGAACTGAAGGGTCAAATAATGTGTGATTCACATAAAACCATCAGGGAAAGAGCAGCTGAGTCTAGCCCAAATCATCTGTCCATCCAGTGATCCCTCAAAACCCAAGGCCTTACTGATAGGACAACAAAGAGGCTGGACATTCTGCTTGTTCAGAGAGATAGAAACAAATCTGCAGTCTGAGATCTAAAATCCCCATCTACCTCACTCCATATCATTATGGCAAGGGAATGACTTCATCCTGAGATGCATGTGGTTGTCAGAATCCTTCTTTAAGGCTTCTCATATCAGTCCAAGAGAAGCATGGCCTTCTGACTGCACTTGTCCCTAAAATAGCTTCCCAAACGCTGCTATTAGAGGAGCCACTTGTTCAACCTATTACTCTAGCCAGCCCTGATTTCCATAAAGGCAGGGCAGAAGAGCTTCATACAGCCCTTTATAAAGCCAAGATAAAAAAAAGGCAGGGGGGAGGTGGGGGGAGATAAGAGGACATGCAGAATAAGCTCCTTAACATTTAAAAGAAAAGGGAGAGCAATAATCCAAAAGATGTGCCAAGTAATACACTGCAGTGTCAACTGGGTGGCCAATTAGAAGGAATCAAATCATGGTTGTGATGAGATTAGTGTCATTTACAGGGATCTGATTCAGAGTCCAGTGAAGCCAGTGGAAAATCTCTCCATGACTCCCAGGCCATTGAAACAGGGTCTAATGTTCCTCAGCTTTTTAGTTTAAAGGCACCACTTCCACCCCATGGAACAAGTACGTAACTCCACATGACTCTGTGGTGGGTGAAAATAAGCTACATTTCTTTCTAGCTCCTTATTATTTTTACTGTTATTCTGTTAGTGAAAAGTAGTACAATTACATCATATTGCTGATTATTGAATGAAGCATGAAGAGGCCGAGAGTTTCAGAAAGATGAAAGCTAAGAGAATTCCATAAAAATATGATGGGGTGCTGTATAAACTTCCCTACCATGTCAGATGGTCTAATTTGGCATGTGCTTCTGCTGGCAGCATTTAGAGGTGGTCACTCCTTGACAAACTTTCAGTTCTGCTGTTACATTAAATCTGAGTTGTGGAATTCCGTTTAGCAGCCCAGTACAAGGAGCCCATTAACCACTATAATCTCCAGAACATTTTCATAAAGTGCAAGTGAAAACAAATTTCTTTTTCCCCAGTTGTCCCACGAATTCCTTCTGTTTCATTTTAGCGTCATCCAAATGTTTTATGGAACAGAGTTCTCTCAGATACTGATCCCTTGAGCAGGGTTTTTCCTGTTGTTTTTGTTGTTGTTGTTGCTGTTGTTTTTAAGAGGGGACCACAAGAGTGTCTATCAGAAACTTCATTTCGCATTAAAGATATCTGGTTTGTGATGTGGAGTGTTGTTTCTGACAGTGTCAGTTTCCATCAGCTCTGTAACAGTCTTCATGCATCCCTGTCAGTACTGCAGGAGAGCCAGAGTGATTCAGAGAGTGCAAACATAATTAGGCCCAAGCACAAGCCTTAAGTTGCAATTAAGCATCACACGTGCATTTCTATCCCTCTTCTCAGGACGAAATGATTAATCATAGCCATGCAAGCCACAGCAGTGAAACTTGGCTGCCAAATCTCATTTGAAGTGTTTCCCACCCATTCCCCAGCATGGGCAGGAGTTGATTTTTTCATGGTGAGATACTGAATGATTGATGCTTCTGCCTGTCTGTGAGGTGTTCTCATCCTTCTGCCTTTTTCTTGCTGTAGGTTACATCGAAGCAGCTGTGATCCCTGCAGGTGCCCGACGGATCAGAGTGGTTGAGGACAAACCTGCTCACAGTTTTCTGGGTAAAAAGACAAAAGAAAAAGTTTTGGTTCAAACTCAGCTTTGTTCTCTGTTAAAATGACCTTTCTCTTAAATTACTTTTAAGATAACAGGTTTGTTGTTTTCTCTGAGTGGCTGTGTTGATTTCGTTCTTGATTCAGTCTTTTCTTGAATTCATGATATTCGCTTGATGTGATAAAACATGACACTGCCCAGACCCTGCGCAGCCTGAAGGACCAGAAGATGCATTTACACAGGCTGAAGGACTTTTGTGCAGCACTTGGCACTATGGTAGACATAGCTGCTAGGAGCACATTGCACTTTGTGGAGGAGTGGGAAAGAGAACAGTATGTTTTAAGAATCAAGCAGCAGAGATGCAGACAGGAAGGCTCCTAGCTCAGACTGGAGCAGAGGCAGGACAGGGCACCTGAGGTTGCCTGCACCATTTCCTGTAGCTGTGTGCAAGACCTGATTCTGCATTCTGAGGTAGACTACTTGCAGCCTTTAGTCCATTGCCTCTATTTTCTCAAGCTGACAGTAAGTTTAATCTCATGTGCTGGAAAACAAAGTCTTACCCTGAGTGAGGGCTCAGACTTGTGTATAAGGTTCCTTTAAGGCAGAGTTTATCAGTAAAGCTGTCCAGTTACTAATCATTCAGATTAAGGATTGGAAGGGTATTTGTAAAATCAGTCAGCTGTAATGTACATCTGTAAGTTTGGTCTTCTGCCTCTATCTCCAGTGTTAGTGGTGTTTCTTTCCATGTCGATAATGTGGAATAGATGAAGTGCTTTATCTCCAATCTACTTCTAGGGAAACTAAGTCACAGGTAAGCTAATGCCCTGTTACCTTGAATCCCCACAGGAAGTCTGTGTCATAACAGGGAGTTGAAAGGAGGTTGCCAAAGTACAGAAGAACACACAACACATTGAAACATCCTTTTTGCACTTGGAGCTGTATGACCATGCTTAAGTAGGGGTTTCTGCTCTCTCTTAAATTCTTTATGCCATGGAGCTATGTTTGGAATTTTCTTTTATCCTTTTCTTTTCCCACATCTCCTCCTATGTTTAGTGGAGTTTTGCATTTTATAGATACCTGCATTGTCAAACTTCAGCTCTTCTTGATTTTGATGAGCTCATTACCAAAGCTTTCCCTATCAAACAGCGTTTCAGTGCTTCCACAGCCTCATGTTCTTGTTGCAGTGGTTGGAACAGATGCTATCGCTTAGTGTGGGAAGTATTAAGTACTGTTTCTCTTGTGTATGTTCTAGTTCTCTCAAAGCGAGCTGCTTAGAGTGGAGACACTGTGAGGTTTTAGGGTAGAAAAGTATTCTGAAAGATGGAATTCCTTCCAGGGATAGATCAGTGCTGTTATTAGAAAATCTGACAGCATCGCAGAGCTTGTTGCCCTCCCATTTTACGGATGGGAAAGTTTGCTCATGGATACATTGGAGTCAGCAGCAAAGCTTGTACTAGAACCTTTTGTTTCTAAATTTCATGTATTTTGCTTATAATCCTCTCCTTTGCAGCCAAGAAATGTCAAAATCCAGTAGCAGGACATTGGAAGCTGCTAAAAACATTTACGTACTGATTGTATGTTAGGATTTCAGATCCATGCTGCTGGTTCTCTGTCATGAGATGCCATCAGAGCTGACAAAAACTGGGGAATATGCTTTTATTCACTTCAGTTCAGATTCAGAGGAAAGAAAGAGGACAAATCATGTCATTCAACTGCCCTTGGGTCAAAATATTGGCATTTGTACTACTTCTTGGTAGGAAACATATATTCCTGCTGCTAATATTTCTACTAATGCTGCAGCCAGCTTGCTGGGAGAGGATTACGCCTACACGTAAGATGTTTGACATAGCAGAGCACTGGTGGAACAATGAGTGCCAGTGTTTCATTGGGCTTTGCAAATACTCTGTCTTCTGGAAGCCAACCTTTTTGTTTGTCTTTGTGGGATTTATGCAGGTTGTCAGAGGTTTGGGCTTTGGCAGATAACTGTAACACTGAGAACCTTATGTGGAGCTAGCCCTTCGTTGTGACCACATAACCTTGACTTAAGCAGGTATTTCTCCATCAGATGGTGAAGATTAGGATTGTATATATTTGAGAGTGGGACTTGGCCCCTGTGTGCATCTCATAAAGACAGATAAAAGTTCTACATCTTAGACTAAGAATTGAATCAAATAAATGGTAATCTGATCATTTTAAAGCTTGTGAATGGTTTCTGCTCTTTGGTTCACAGTCAGAAGAACCAATCTGAGCTTTTCAGAGTTTTATCTGGAACAGTGGACACAAAGAAAAGATATGCAATGTCTTGCTAACCTCAGCTGAAGAGTAGCAGCAGGAGTATTCCAAAAAAAGATGACCAGGGAAACGAAGTTCCAGTCATTGAAATAGCCTAAGAATGAATAGTAAATCCAAGTTTGAGCATGGAAGGATTTTCTGTTTTGATTATGCTGTCAATATTGAGCCCAATCAGACCCTATTTCAACTCAGAACGGGGTACAGTGCTTTGGAATTGAGCCCAGCATAATTTGGAATCATTATTCCGTGTGCTGGGAGCAGTGCCTGAAGAATTTCCCTCCACCTACAGACAACCCACGCTGGCTGGCTTAGCTGGCTGTAATGCTTAGAAACCACCTTGGACAGGAAATGCCTCAGCAGTGTGTGTCCACAGATTGGGAAGCAAGCTGGAGGGACCTAAGGTGGAAATAAAGATCTGACAAGATGCCAGGTTTAGAAATAGATTGGTCAGTTCTTGTCTTTGAGCCAACAAGAAGTTATGGGTTGTCACTGGGGTTCCTTTTCTCTCATGCTCTTCAATGGTACAGCTTTTGAGCCAGGAAACAGCTTAGAGGTGTATGAGTGAATGCTTGCTACCACCTAAATATACCCACATTGAAGAGAAAGAGCTGTGCTCTGCAGCCCTGGTTGAGGCATGGAGTCCCAGGAGAAATACAAATATTCAGTAAGAGTAAAAGGTTGTATTCAGCACTGTGCATTGGTACTTAGGCAGAGACTTGCAATACGTAGGCTTGCAGTAGTTGTTTCTGGCAACAGCCAATGGAGAAATAGCAGTACCCTGAATTGATGGAGCTATCAATTATATATAGCTGAATTGATCCTTACTGATGGAGCACCTGCATGGAGTGAATACAAACAGCAGTGAACACACTGGCTCAGATACTCTGTGCAGTCTCCAATACAACTCCTACAATTCTCAAGAAGTACCTTTTGGGCTGTTTCCTTCTACTCAGTCATCTGGAGAACAGTGCCTGCAGCAATCAAAATCAAGCCTTTCTTAGAAGAGAGATCCACAAATATTAAACATTTTTCTTTTTTATCAGCAAGCTGTCTTCCTTTGATGAGCAAGAGCCAAAGCATAGTTTGTTATTCAAGCTCTTGTGTGCTCTTGTGAGCATGTGCCGTGGTATTTTTACTAGTCAGCCATACTGCAGTGGAGATAGTTATATCTCATCCACAGCTTTGATTTGTCGTGTTCACAGCTCCTCAAGCCCAGTGTGATGGCTGCTTTGATCAGCCTGGAAGCCAGTAGGCTTTGGCAGAGGAAAACAATCCTTTGGAATTCTGTCTGAAGTTTGCAGAAGGCACTTTGTAGATTGGAGAGCAAAGCAGGATAGAAGCAAGCTGCAGAGGGAGTTGTATTGCCATAGCATAGCAGGACATCATCAAACTCATTTCTTAGCCTGCAGAGCAAGGGTCAGTGTGTGTGCTGCTTGTTGGGGACTGACCACGGAAAGTATTGACCCTTGCTAGGAGTTGTTTGGGAGAAATCAATCTGACTTGGCTACAAATGAAAATGACAGGGATTTTAATAAAACAGATAACAGTGCTCAAGTGCCTGGAAAACATATATGTGTGCCATACTTGGAACAGCATGAAGAAGCTGAGACGGTCCCCATTCTGAAGTCATTCTTCGGTGGCCTCTCCGGGTTCTGTGGTGCCAGGCACTCATGTTTTTGAGCCAAGGTGAACAATCTTCAGGAAGTCCCTTATAGAGGAAACTAACAGAGATTTCTATTGTCTTAAACATCATTCGAGGAAGATCCTTCATGTCTTAAGGGAGTTTCCATTGTAGAATCTATATAAAAGATGTTAGAAAAGGCTAACCAGAATAAAAGGAAGGTCTTTGTAGAATGATCCAGTATTACTACTGACACTCCCCACAGTAGATTAGACCAAACTGATAACTCAGGTGCGTTGTGCATTGGACAGGAAGTCCAGTTCCTGGTCCTCTAAGCATAATAGTGAATTATATGTGGCCTATGTGCAGCTGGAAGGATTTGCTGGCTTTGGGAACTTGATCCAAAGGGATGAAAATGGGAGATTTTCCTATTGCCATTTAAAAAGGCTTTAAATCAGCTCCTCTTACCTCCTGACAATCTACTCAGTAAAATGAAAGCCAAAGTTGTATTTTTTACTGGAAGGGAATAAAATAGGCTTGAAATGCTGGAGGTTAAGAAAACACCATTTTAAAGGCTTAGCCAAAGGATACAGTTAACCTTGAACTAAGGAAGCCCAGTAACTGAAAAACACAGACTAATCTATCTGGTGTCACAGCAAATTCAATCATAGTATGCTGATTTCCACGGAGGGTATTGGGGCTTTCTCTCTGTTGCAGGATGGTCTGCCAATTTTCTCTTCCCTCAGTGCGTCACGAAGACATCTGAATAACTGTGCTTCCATTGTAACATAGATAACAGAGAAATCCCTAAATGAACTTGCACTGACAACTCACAGTAAGATTATGACCATATGGCTGGAGTTCCTTTGAGTGTTCAGAGAATATCAGTGTTGCTGATGCAGTAGATTGTTCTGGAAGGAAGGACACAATACTGCAAGTACCTTTCCTTTTTGATAATCATCTTACAGGGCTTCCTTCCTTGTCCTTACTGATGCACAGAGGCATTTCTTCTGACATGTCTAGCAAGTTGGTCTATATGTCTAAATTTATGATGCCGTCCATTTTTCTAAGATTAAATTGTGAGATTTGAGAATAATGTGTAAAATGACTTAAGTGTTATTTTTCAATATATAAGATACACCAGTCATGTTTATTTTATGTATATGTGTGTGTGCTTAATGTGTAACCTTTTGACTAATAATAAGATTATTCCAGTAAGACTTACAGCTCTAAGTAATTTTCTTGAATTATGCTGTCTGTTTCCAATCTGTATTCTGCTTAGCGTGGGTAAGGAAAATGGCTCAGTAAGTTTTGCACTTTCCTAGCCACTCCTGCTTGGCAGTTCTTGCTTGTTAACACAGGACTCTAGTGCGTTAGTCATACTTTTAAAACCAGATTGAAACTTCACTGAAAATTAAAGAAAGGCATCTCACTTGTGCAAACTTTCCTTTGCCAAGGACTGCGCATGCAACCCAATTCAATGACACGCCATGAATGTGTGTGTTTTTCAGGCAAACTCCTGAAACGATCAAATAGTGGAAGAGTTGTGCGATTTAGTTCCAAATTAGTGCTTTTTTTTCTAAGGTTGGGGTAATTACCCTTATTTAATTTTCCTTTGTAAACTGCTGCTGCACACTCTTTCCCCCCCTCAGTTTTGAAGATGGATAACTTTGCTTCTTTGGGAAGCAGAAACTGAAGATTTTAAGTAGTAAAACCTTGGCACTACCAGTTTATATGACATTATTATTACCTAATGGCAATATTAATGTATTTAGAAATGCCTTCTTCAACTGACATACAGAATATATTCAAATTAGTAACCACACCATTTGTCGGCTAACAATATACTTAATTTTTTTTTAAGCTAGTGTGTCTTACAAAGTCACTGCATCTTGCACTTAGATGGGCTGAGAAAGAAGCACAGTCCTCAGTCAGTGTAGTCAGTCAATGGGCTATATTGTAATTATCAATTTGCTTTCATTTCATTCCCTGATATCTGATTCTTTCCAGCTTTAAAAGATTCCAGTAAGAGATCCATTAACAGCGACTGGAAAATTGAGCTTCCTGGTGAGTTTCAGATCGCAGGCACTACTGTCCGATACGTGCGAAGGGGGCTGTGGGAGAAAATCTCTGCCAAAGGACCAACTAAAATACCACTGCACTTGATGGTAACTTTATATCCTTTGTTTGTGTTTCTTAAGTGATGCAACCTAAAGGGTTTATATCCTCACTGAAAGTGAAATTTTGACTGTTTCCTCGTTAGAGTTTCTTAGAGATATGCTGTAGTGCTTCTCCTTGAATTCTTTTGCAGTATTGGAAGGTCTAGAGAAACCCAGTTCACTACTAAAAAATAACTGGAGCTTGGCTGTGGAAGAACATACAGTGTCCCAGTACACTCATGTCTGGTACAGAACATTCTTGTAACGTGTCAGACAATGTGACAGATCCACTCTACAGAACATAGGTTTACAAGAGTCTTCCTTACTTCATGGACGCACCCAGACACAGATATTTAGCAAGTTTCCATCTTAGCTGATGCCAAAGCATATTCATTCAAGGCCAGGCTGGGGGGGACTTTGAGTAACCTGGTCTGGATGGAGGTGTCCCTGCCTATAGCAGGGGGTTGGAACTGGATGATCATAAAGGTCCCTTCCGACCCAAACCCTTCCATGATTCTGTAATATTCTGTATTTTCAAACATGTTGTTGCTCTAACAGAAAAGATGTACGTTTTACATACAGAGGTGATAAGTGTGAGTTTGTAATGATGTTGCACACAAAAATGTTCCTTCTTTTCTTATTTTTTTATACTATGTGTTTTAAGCTGTTTTTGAAAGTTTTACTGATGTCCTTCTGTTAACCTCACCTTTTATAAACACTCTTATAGCTGCTGTATGAGAACATGAGTCAGAAGTCCACAGGGGTGAGAAGAACAGGAGTGTAGTCCCAGTCCTGTTACTAGTGGGTGATGGTGTGGTTTGTGGGCCAGCTCCTTAAAGTTTCTATCTATAACATAGCTGTAATAATGCCTTTCTCACATATGCTGCTAGCTGGAAGTTTGCATAAGGCTTCTCAGTTTCAAGAGAGAGGTTTGCATACAAACCGTGTATTTTAATGTTTGCATTGTTTCCAGTGGTTTGTTATCCAATTACATTTTTCTGTGTACTGTTTCTTTCTGTCATTCGTTCAGTGCGTGCTGACTTCAAATGCTGCTAAACATCAGAAATCTCTTCCTATCTTCCTGGATTTTTTTTTTTTTAATTACTAGCATTCATCACAAAACATCTCACAGCCCAGTTTAAAAAAATGTACTTGCAAGATCTTCCTAACCTCCTGTAAGAAAAACGTACTGTTTGTGAAGATGCTGTGCAGGATTTCTTTGCCAGCTCTAGGAATTTTCCAGAGCACTGCTTCGTTGAGGCATATTGCAGTAAAACCTTGTACTGGCTTTTTTCAAACTTCAGCATCGGTCTATTTTTAAAGAAATAGTTTCCCCTTTACTAAGGAATAAGTAAACAACATAGGAAATTAGTGATCAAGAGGTTCTCTGTATCATTTTCAGGTGCAGACTTGCATTTTCAGCAGATATGAGCAGAGGAAGCTTTCCTTCTTCATCTTTCCTCCTGAAATGATTAAAAAGGAGGAAAGCAAAAGTTACCAGGCCATTAAAAAAAAAAACATGGCCTAAAATCACTGCCAGTCATAAACAAAGCACGTGTAAAGCTTCAGATCAGATATTAATCTTTTCCTTAGTATAGGGTAGTGGGTTTCATTCTTTCAACACAAGAGTGGCAGGATGGTTACCACTTACCTCTAAATAGAAAACTGTTGTTCAAACAGTGGTGGAATACACTGGCCTGACAAAGAGCCAGAAGCTTCAGTCAATCCATTGTGACCTGCATTTGAAACCAATTATACACACATACACACACACCAATTATATGTGGCTACAAAATTGCATTAAATTGATTTCATATGGGCCTTTAGATTCACTAGTCTTGCTCCCATATTGAGATAATAAGGATTTCTTTTTAGGGGCTGGTTTTTAATACTTAAGGCATTTCTCCAAGTGCATTGCTTAAGTATATTTCTTGGAGAAATTAATGTTTGTGTAGCTAGGCTTGTGCTAGATCTCTTTTTGGCAATAGAGGACAACCAGACACTCCCAAAGCATAAAGATGCTTTAGACAAGGCCAATTGATCAATTCTGTAAAACAAGCTGTTTGTATCTCATGCACTAAAAGATAGCCAGAGCAGAACTTGAGTTCTCTGCTGCTGGACTGCCTGATAGTTTGGTTTGTGGAGAAGATAAAAGTGCATTCACCTGGCTTCTACCTTGGCATTCAGTTCTGGTGGTAAGGATCCCTCCATAGCTGAGGCAAAACTGTACATTTGTTCCCCACCTCTTCTTGAAGGTAGTTTTTGTAGTGGAGTTTTGCATTGCGCAGAGCAGCTCACAAGTGCTGAGTTTGGATTGTCCCACAGCATTCACTTGCACAGACCTCCAGGACATCAGTGCCTGCAAACAGGACCCCTTATTTCAGCCTGTGTGCTGTTGAGGGTTGTCACTGTTGTTGAATAGAACTTCTGACAGCTTCAGTGAAATTATTAGTAAAGTAGGAGGGATTTCTGCCATTCTTAATGGGAAGCAAAGATTGTTGGGATCAAATAGCATTTGTAAATTTGCTTTTTTTTTAATTGGCCAGCTGCTCTGTTCACTTATGACAGCAGTACTTAAAATATCTTCTTCAGTAAGATTCAGCTCCAATTTTGGCAGGTGCCAAAAGTCAGCAGAATGCACCTCTCTAATGCTACCGAGATTGTGAGATAATTATTATAGGCTAATCTGAAGCCACTGCATCAGTATCCAGTAGTACTTCTATCGTATTTGTGTCAGTGTGATAATTCAGATTTTGTGGGCCTCATACCGCTTTTTGGGTGTCTTCAAGTGACTTCTGACTTAAGCCAGTGGAAATGGGAGCCAAATGAAGTTCAATAGAAGTTAAATCAGAACAGGACCAGACCTGTCATTTGCCTGTGGAGAAAAGTTAAGCGTTTTTCTCTGTTCCTCTGCAGTTTTTAATAGTGATTTTCAGAGTAATAATACTAGAGACATACATCATAAGTGACTCCATGGGAAGTAATCAGCTTGCTGCTGAAAGCAGGTTTCATCTCCTTCCAGCAATATGCAGGGGTACGAAAATATATATGCTGCCAGCAGCTGTATGATATGGTTCTTTCTTGCCATCCTCAGGCTTCTGAGACAATAAAATCCTGCTCCTACAGCTTGTCAGCAGGAATAGTCTCCTTCAATTTAAGTGCCACATTGCCCCGGGGCATGTGATCTTTTCAGTGTTCGTTTTCTTTTGCTTTGAGAAGGATCCAGTTGTGCTTTCAGAAGTGTTAATAAACTCTTCTGCCTTCAAACTGTGAACTGCTGCAGCCCCACTCAAATGCAACAATAAATACTGCAGCTATAGAATTGGAGCCACAGAATGGTTGATGTTGGAAGAGATCTCTGGAGATTATTTTGTCCAATCCCCACTTTTCAGGCAGGATAGGATAGAGCAGGCTGCAATAACCTGTAAACTGTACCACATTCATCTAGAACTTTCCCATTCTCTACTAAATTTCCCAACCAGAAGCCTGAGTCTGTTCATGAGACTTGGAGACAACCTGGTTTCTGGAAAACAAAGGCAGGACAGGTCTGATGAGTGACTTTTTAACTCCAGACACTCATTTAAATAGCTGTATTTATATGAAATATAAATAGTTATAGTTTATATGAATATATATAATAGTTCATGAGACTAGTTTATATGTAGTAGTTTATATGAAATATAAACAGCTATATGGAAACTGTTGCTTTAGTGCTTCCTGTTGTCTTACTATTTCTCTCCAGGTGGTGGCTTGCTGATCTTTGAGTCTCATATGAAAGTAATAATTTTGAACCAAATTCCAGGTTTGGACATTAAATATAAATCATGAGCAGTTCGTGCATCTCAGAGATGCCCCATATTGGCAACACTACTGAAATTTCAGGTTCATATAGATAAAGATTTGGTTGCCTTTCATGAAGTACTTACATGACAGAAGTATTGACCTGAGGCAGCATTTCTAGCATTATGGTCCCCGCATTCTGGTGACTTTCCCAGCTCACAGTGTTGTAACAGTCTTTCTTTTCCTGCTGAACCAGGTGCTGTTATTTCATGACCAGAATTACGGAATTCATTATGAATACACAATTCCTGTAAACTATACTACTGAAAACAGAAGTGAGCCAGAAAAGCAACAGGATTCATTGTACATCTGGACGCACAGCGGATGGGAAGGGTGTAGTGTGCAGTGTGGAGGAGGTAAGGCCATAAGGAAGCTTGGTGGTACTTACGCAGTGTTTGCAGACATCAACCAAGAGTGAGGTTCCTGCAGAAGGCGGTGTTGCCAAAGCATGAAGGAAACTGGCCATGGTAATGTATATTACCATAATGAGTTCAAATGAGAGCTCGTTTTCACCAGCTCTCCCAGCTCTCATCCCCATCCCCACAGTTAATTTTCACCCAGCATTTTGGCAGGGACACTGCTTTGTCGGCTTGCTACTCCAGGCTGGAACTGCACCTGGGTTAGTGCTCCATGGATGGCTTAAGGCACTGTGTGCAGCCTCATATCTCAAATCTCTGTCACATTCTTGGAGTAGAGTTTTCACAGGTGTTCAGGCATGTTCACTTAAAGACACTTCCTTCCCCAAGGATGAGACAGGGACAGTACTGCTGTGACAACACCTGGAGATTGTCTTAGGTCCTCTTAATGTGCAGTGGACTTTCTGGGGGTACAATTGTACGTTGCATATCACACTTTTCAGATGATTCCTGAAAGAGTTTTGCTGAAACCCTGGGGGAGCTTGACGCCTGTGAGGCCAGAGACTGGTTTGTTAGGCACTGTCCATTGAATTTTCAGTGCTGGAAGAAGTAGTTTTTTCCCAGAAGAAAATGGACTTTTTTTTTCCCAGAAGAAAATGGATTTTTTTCCATGCTCTCTGGCCAGTTTTTCTTTACAAGTAGACTGAGTTATTTATTCGATTTATTTATTTATTCTATTTATTCTTCACACAGGAAGAGAGCGCTCGTCTTCACATTTGCAAGTTCACTGCCCTGAAATCATGAATTTCTTTCTGTAGATAAAACTTATTTTAAAACAGACACTTTTGCTCACCTTTTAAAACAATTTCTTAGAACCATTAAGCACCCACATGAATGAGTAGGAGATTGTTTGAGGCCTTTTTCATTCGTGTTATAAACGTTCTGCATGCATGGATCAAATCAGTAACTGGCAGCGTGGCTCCTACTAGTAGTAACAGCTTGGATGGCAATTGATCGCATGTCCTTTGGCTGTCAGATGCTTCTAGTTCTTACCCTAGCTGAGAAGGGCCTCTTCCCTTCAGACTTTCTGCAGTTCGAGCCTAAACTTCATCAATCAGTTCAGCCATTGATAACTTCTGTACAGACTATACAAATTTTGTGTTAACAGAATTTGAGTTACTTTTAATTGTCTGCTGTAAATATGAACAAACTCAATTTGTTGTGAACTCAGAGTCACAAAGAGAGAAGCTGAGAAACCAAAATGCAGTAAGGCAGTGTCACATAGTGCAGGGATGACATTTTCTTTGTCACATCTGGTTGCTGTCATGCCACCCCATGACAGAACTTTCTTGCTGTCACACAGTGGAAAGCTGTTCCAGTGTCATACCTGTGCTATCTTGGTGAAAGTGCTGATGCAAGAGAAATAGTTTATGTGAGAAAAGCTGATTACTCCTAAGGTGTCTTCTAGTAGCAGGATTTTTCAGGCATCATATCTGGAAGACAGGAAAATTGGAAATAACTTATTTTGGTGAGTGAATTTTACCTATTTGTGAAATACAAACAAGCCCAGGTTATCACTCTTGAAGTCTGTTTACTCCTTTTTAACCCAACTTTTTGTGTGTAGGAAGCAGCAAGATACAACTGTCCTGCCATTATCAGGGACAGATAATTGTATGACTCCAGTTTTCATAGCTGGAGCATCTGCCCTAGGTAATTGCAGGACACTGCAATATGTGAAGGATGAACCAGAAATGAAAGCAAGTTGTTCTCAGTATTGTTTTCCCATTTAACACTAGAAAAATCAAGTCTAGTTTCTAGTCAGTTTTATAAGAGACTTGTATGTTTTCTTAGGGAAAAAAGTACTGTACAAAGGTTAGACAGAACTGGAAGATAAGACAGCTTACAGGGTTTGTGTGTCTGTATAGATTGCATATTTGAAGATAGTAGGGAAATCTAGTTAATGAGTTGGCATGGTTTTCTTCTTAGCCACTGTCTTCCATGTTTTTCAGAGTAGTATTTTATTTTACTTGTAGGTGAACGGAAAACAATTGTGTCCTGTACTCGAATTATTAACAAGACCATGACAGTGGTGAATGACAGTGACTGCCAACGAGTGAATCGCCCCGAGCCCCAGGTCAGGAAATGTAACACACACCCCTGCCAGTCACGGTAAGGAGTTAAAAATAATACAAACCAATATCCTTTTTCTTCACAAATCACCCATTTCCAAGGTCTCCATCTGGTGAACATGGTGAAAATGTCTAAAAGCATTGGGACGCATTGGTAGCTACAGCAACCAGCTGTAATGTTCATTTCCTTTTGTTGAGCAGATCAGATTTTTATTACCTCAGAGTCCATTTAATGTGTGGCCAGTAAGTCCAGATTCCATGCAACTGCCTGCATGCATTGTTTGAGGATGACTTTCTTCTCTTTTCCTTTTGGATGTCTCCTGGGAGATAGCGTAGCTTGCAGTATAAAGCCAGACAAGATAGCAGTAACAGCATATTTAACTTTTGTTTTGTTTTAAACCAGCACAGAGTCTGATTAACAGTACTACAGTGCTACAAAAAAACTTCTGAACAACCTACAACCTTTAAGCTACTATAGCTTGCCTGCTATGTCTGTCTGATCTGTATTAGCAGAGTAGTTCAGACTGGGAGCCTCCAGGCAAGAAGCATCTCTTCTTGGTGTTAAATTTGTACAGTGTCTTCCGATACCTGCTTAGTTTGGAAGGCAAATCTGAATTGTGTTGAAGTCAAGAAATTAAAATGAAATGTATTTTATATGCTTTCCTTGCAAAGGATGGTTTTCTGTGTCAGCAGTAGTAATTAAACTCTAATAGCTGAAAGTTCTAAAAATAATAGAAAGGGCTGTTTTATGATTTGGCAAGCACTTTTAGACAAGTTATGTTTTTCTGCATTGTATAAAAGGTGAAGTTTTTGTCCAGAATGACAAAACACAGGACAATAAATTAATTTATTCTGTTTATTTGCTTGCAAAAAATTTCACTCTTGCTCTGAAGCAATGCTTGGTGTTGTGAACTAACATGGACTGTCCACTTTGGATAGCAGTTAGAACACAACATAAACTTAGAAAAAAGTTCCTGAATATCTACAAAGGCCTGTTAAAAGGAATTTGCTATCTGTTGCATCTTGTATAATCAGAGAAGCCAGGGGAATGTACCTACAAAGTTCATCCTGCTGGGAGGAACAACAGAGGAAATGAGAAGCAACACATTTCCCTCTAATTGGACCTGCATTCTGATTAAAGTGCCCTGAAGCAGGAAAATCTAGTGTTAGGTAATCCATCAATAAGACTAGGTTGTTTCAGGTTTCATTTTGTTTCTGCACCTATTACAGCTGCTCAATATTGTGGCCAAAATGCTTTCAGTGGTACTGAAAGGTTTAATGAGATACTGTGTGTGCTTCTAGGTATATAAGGAGAGCCAAACTCCCAGTAGCTTGAGGGAAACAACTGTCGTTTCTGTGAGGAAGTTTCCTACATTCAGCGCTGCTGGGATTTCTATCATGTCGTTTTCTCTGAAAAACTGAAACAAGGAGCATCTGCTCGTGTTTCTGTCTTGGCACAAAGGATTTCTTTTAGACTTTTTAAAAATAGATTGGGAAGAGACTGGAGTGAATCAGTGAGGTCATATGAAGGGGCTGCAGGTGCTGGAGGCGTAAAAAAGCTTGGGAAGAAGTTAGAAGCTTTTGCCACTATTAGCTGAGCACTGCATAGAGAGGTCTTGCCCATCAGGTCCTTTAGAGCCTTAGGACCCACAGTGCTGTTTCTCAGTGCGATCTCCACGGTCCTGAGCTCTTGGTGAAGTCTCCTCTTTGTTGCATACCTACTCCATGATATTGCAGCCTCTTCAGGGCAGAGACACAGTAAGGTAAAATAATACACAACCTCCTGAGAAAGGACCAAACCAGTTACAGTATCTAAATTGTGTTCTTTCATGGATTCGTGTCCAGCCCTCAATATTTTTCCAAGGTATCTCTTCTTCTGTACAGAGCTATCAGGGAACATACAGCCACAGTTTAGCCTAGCTCTCCTCAGGATTAATTAGCTCCAGCACAGTGACATTCTGCTGTCTGAGCAGTGACAGTCAATACCAAATGTCCTCAGTGCCCAGAGTGGCCACAGAACCCTTGCTGATGATCTGACAGACCACACTCCCTCGCTCCCTCTGTGTAGACCACACTTTCACACTTAACATGCTTTTGACTGGAAACATTTTCAAGAAGCACATTCTCTGTGCCTCTGTAGAATTTAAATTTCCATTTGTGTTTGCCCACCCAGATATTAGAAATGCATGCTTAGCATATTCTCTGACCAAGAACATCTTAAAGAAACCATTCTCTTTCACCATGTCAATGCTTTTTTTTTTTTTTTTCCTTTCCTTAATAAACCCTGAATTTGTTTTAGGGTTTGAAGTAAAATTACTGTAGCATCTTGTTACAATAAGGTCCTTTCCCATTTCCACTCAGACCTAAGCCTTTTACCTGTGCAGAAGAAAGAATAATGCTTTCCTTTCAGCAGTAGGTCTGCTCTGTTTTGTGCATTTTGCTGTATGTTTACATTTTTACTCAAAATGTAGGGGAATCATCTTACAGAGAATTTGTCTCAAAGGAAAGGTGTAATGGCCAGAACCCAGGATGCAGTCATTGGGCCCTCGGTCTCTGTTTCATTTTTGGGTATGCTGCGTGACTTTACTTCATTATCCCACACTCTTTGCATCTTCTCTTAATTCACTGATAATGTGGTCTGCAAACTCCTTGGGATGGAGTGAGATCATGTCGTACAAATGGAGGAGACAGAGAGGACTATTGATGCTGAGATTGTAATAAAAATAAAAAGTAACCTACGTTATGTATAAAATGATCTGGAGAGAAAAAAGTATATGATATTAATAATAGCGTGTTTCTTCCAGCATGATCTCAAAGTGCTTTGCAAATTATACATCCCTTTGAACTTCAGCCACCTCTTGGGAGAGCCAAATATTGTGGGGTAGAGGACAGTAGTTTCATGAGGCCAAGGAGATTAGAGCTCTGCAACTGCAACATAGCATCTGAAAAAAACAAAACAGACTGAAAAAAAGGATTGGACATACTGATATGTTTTAAAATCAAATTTCAAAGAACAGAATTTTCTTAAGAGTTTTGTTGAAACTGGCAAAAAAAAAAAAAGAATCTTTCATTCTTTGTTATTGTTACTCTTTCACCTTTTAAAAAAATGCCTCTTTTTCTTCTTATTTTATTTTTTATGTTCCTTGACCCTCTTTTTCCATTAAATTCTTTACAGCTTCCTTTCCTGTCCCAACTGCACCCTATTAGCACCTCTTTATTCTAATCCTTTGCCTAGCTCTTTAGATAGTTTTTTACAAAACCCTGCTGTAACCAGATGGAATCTGGATTCTTGCATGCGGTGCGTATGGGTTGCTTCCAGCACACTGAACACCAACCCAAATATATAGGCAAACCCAGCACTCATGCTGGCACAAGATTCAGAAATCACAGATCACATCAGCTGTTATTACTGAAAACATAGGTCGGCCAGTGGCCACACACTTCAGCATGCATGGTTGGGTTTATGGATATGAAAATGCCCCCCTCTAAAGCAGAAAAAGAACCAAAAACGTGAATTTCCCCAACTGTTAGACTTGCTGTGGTCTGTATGCAAACACTGTTAATCTTCCTTGTCTTTGCTGTAACAGATTTTAATAGAAGTTGAGTCCTTCTAGGGACCTGCTGAATATGTGCTGTTCCTACACAGATGCTTAACAGCAGCATGAACAGCCAGAAATCACTGCCTTCATCCACAGAAAACCACAGGAGACCTGAGCCCTTATTTTCACTGTTTAGGACTTGAAAGCATCTTTGAGTCCTAGTGGCATGTTATACACTAGTTTCCATAAAACAATTTTGCTCTGCAGCCTACTTCCCTTGCTGGAAGACTTTTCTGTGACCTTGCTGTTCGCGTGGGTCAAGATCTTTTATTTCCAATCTTCACTGTACTTTTTCAGCTATTTGTTCTTGTTCTGTTTGTTCAGGTCTGTTTATTTGCTCACTAGCCCTTTTCTTTATGTGTAATGCCATATGATACAGCAATCCAGTTTATCTTCTATCATTTTGCTGGGCTAAATCCATTAATGTTCTCTAACTTCATTTTGGATGAGAGACTGCCCATGGATTCTCACTTCCCTTTGTCACCTTGGTCACGTTCTACACTCAGGCCATGATTTAAACTGTTTAACTGCATCATGTGAATACACAGATGACCAGAACTGCATGGAAAATCCAAGGTTCAATTTCATCTAACCCTTACACAGTTGCATTCATACTTGCCTATCTTCGTTGTCAGTAACAATGCTGATGCATTCTTTGCTTTCTTCATGGTTACATCACTTTCATGGTTTAGAGTCACTCTGAATGTTTTTGCCGTCATTTGTTTCAACATACGAATCCTTCTTTAACATAGACATGCTTGTTATTAGCCCTTAAGTATACAACCTTGCAAGGTATGCTATTTTCAACCTATCTGTTTTATTGCAGTACTCAAGTTTGTTCCGTTTATCTTCTGTGATACCCTATTTCTCCACACCATTGACAATGCTTCTAGACTTTGTGCTGTCAGCAGTGTTTTTCACCAGTCTTTCAGCAGTTCTGTGCCTAAATCATCAAAAGTAAGACAGTGCTTACAGGAAGTCCACTGGTATTTGATCTGAGTTCCCTTCGTACGTGATACTTCCTTTACAGCACTGCGCTGTGGCTGGCTGTCACCTATCATGCACATTGATACACGTGTTTTCCAGCACGTGACCAGTTTCTCCAACTTGCTTAAGCATTTCCAGTGCAGCAGAAGGAGTTCTTTACTGATAACCAAATCAATTAAATCTACCATGTTTCCACTGTCTGGAAAAGCAGTTACTTTAATCAAAGAAATACACCCACATAGTTTAGCCTGGTCTGCCTGGAGGAAGTCTATGTTGCATTTTTCCTATTTTCCATTTACCACCATATCCTTGATTATTGTTTCCCTCCAAATCTGTTCTAAAAGCTGGCACGCAGCTGAGGTCAGGCCTGTGGTTATACGGATTGCTTCTTTCGTTCTTTCTTTCTTCTAGTCCCCTTTCACTTTTCCATCTGCGGGCAGGAATCCAATACTGT